GATCAGCTGCTAAAAAAAAATCAGGAAGAACCACAAATACATGGAGATTAAACAACATGCTACTGAAGAATAACTGGGTCAGAGAAGAAATAAAAAGAGAGATCAAGAGATGCATAGAAACAAATGATAATGATAGTACAACATATTGAAACTTTTGGAACATGGCAAAAGCAGTCATAAAAGGAAAGTTCATTTCATTACAGGTCTACCTCCAAAAACAAGAACGAGCTCCCCCCAAAAACCTAATGCTTCATCTTAAAAAATCTAGAAAAGAACAAATGAAGCCTAAAGTCAGCAGAAAGAAAGAAATAATCAAAATTAGAGCAGAAATAAATTAAATTGAAAAAATAAATAGATAAATAAATGCAACAAAGAGCTGGTTCTTTGAGGAAGTTAATAAAATTGACAAACCCCTGGCTAGACTCACTAAAAAAAAATGAGAAAAGACACAAAAAGAACAAAATCAGGGATGAAAGAGGGGAAATTATGATTGACATCACAGAAATACAAAAGATCATACAAGAATAGTATGAAAAATTATATAACATCAAATATAATAACTTAGAAGAAATGGACCAGTACTTAGAAAAATACAACCTTTCTAGACTGAATCAAGAAGAACTGGAAAATCTAAATAGAACAATCAGCAATATAAAAATTGAAACAATCATCAAAAACCTACCAAAAAGTAAATGTCCAGGACCAGATGGCTTCATCAGTGAATTCTACCAAACATTCAAAGATTTAATCCCTATTCTCTTCAAACCCTTCCAAAAAATCAGAGAAGTCAACACTAATTTTATGAGGCCAATAATACTCTGATACCAAAACCTGGTAAAGATAACACAAAAAAAGAAAACTACAGACCAATATCTCTCATGAACACAGATGCAGAAATTCTAAATAAGATACTAGCGAATCGAATACAGCAACATATTAAAAAGATTATACACCACGATCAAGTGGGCTTCATCCCAGGGGCACAGGGATGGTTCAACATACACAAATTGATTAATGTGATACGCCACATAAACAAATTAAACAACAGCACAATATTGGCAGAAAAACAGACACATGGACCAGTGGAACAGAATCGAGAGTCCAGAAGTAAACCCATATTTATATGGGCAAATAATTTTTGACAGAAAAGCCAAAAACATACAGTAGAGAAAGGAAAGCCTCTTCAATAAGCAGTGCTAGGAAAACTGGAAAGCCGCCTTCAAAAGAATGAACCTACTGTTGTGTATCACCACACACCAAAATTAACTCAAAATGGATTAAGGACCTGAATATAAGACCTGAAACAATAAAATGCATAGAAGAAAACATAGGGGTGAAACTCAAGGACTTTGAACATAAAGAGGATTTTATGAATTTTACCCTAAAGGCAAGAAAAGTAAAAGCTAAAATAAATGAATGAGACTACATCAAACTGAAAAGCTTCTGCTCAGCAAAAGAAATCATCAACAAAGTAAAGAGACAACCATCCAAATGGGAAAATATATTTGTAAGCAACTCTTCCAATAAGGGCCTAATATCTAAAATATACAAAGAAATCATACAACTCAATAACAACAGAAAAACAAATAATCCGATCTAAAAATGGG